CCCCAAAACCCCAAAACCCCAAAACCCCAAAACCCCAAAACCCCAAAACCCCTCTTTGCCTATTTAAATCAATAATAATAAGCTTTCATAATGTCAATGGTATTTAGCAATCCTTCCAGCCTCAACACTAGTAAAAACCATGATTTCAATGTTGTTAAGAGAAAGAAGGGTAAGCTCTAACTCCTCTTTTACTTTAATAATTTTGTATTTAGATGTGCAAGGAAGATATTATTCAAATAATAATCAGAAATAAAGTAAAGTCAAAAGAAATAGCTGGGTATATTGAAAGCTTGAAAAAAGCATCTGCTAAGAACAACCCTATTGGACATACAAAGAGTTCTAAAAGGGATCTTAGTCAACAGAGACCTTCTCTTCGGAACAAAAGAGATCTTCTATCAAGGAAGAGCAGACAGAAGGTCGCTAGAAGAGCAGATAAAATCATTACCAATACAAGGAGAGTTAATAATCCGAACCAAGCCAAGTTTTTAGAAATGAGTTCTACTCCTGAGTATTCGAATAATCGCTATAATGGCACTAAGAATCTAAACAATAGCAATAGTTTCATCAGAGGCAAGAATTATCATGATCAGACTAAGCTAATGGATAGCAGTATGCGCATGATGAGGATGAGGCAGAGCGAAAGCACAAAGCCAGTTAGAAATATGAGAATTACAGGTAGAACCCCAAGCAAGATGCGAAACAGTAAGATCAGAGCAAGCAGTAACCCAAGGCTTGGGAAAAGAGATATGCATAGCAACTCTTCTGCTAATTTTAAAGGAAGAAAGGGACAGTTAATGTCTTCATCAAAATTAGGGAAGATAATAAGCGAGCAGACCAACAATCTCCTAGAGCAGAAGGAGAGGATCCAACAGATATATGACCCAGGAAATGTAATTTTAAAATCAACAGCCAGTAATATAAAAGTGGCAGATGAATTTCCATCAATTAAAAATAAGAATCTCAATAGTGCAAGCAAAGTCATAATTAATCCTGACAATAGAGGAAAGAAAATGAGGTATTCTCAGTTACAAGGTAATTTATCTAGAGAAATCATGTACAATTCTGGAGAGTGGAGTAATAAGCAAAAGAAGGACACAGAAATACTTGGCAAAATTCCTCAAGGTCTCATGTCCACAGAAGTGGGGAGGAGGGAAAACCTTGCTGCTGAAGACTTTTCGAGAGCAAAGAATGAAGCTACTTCTCACTCTTTGCTTGGCAATATGCATCCAAATGAGCATAGGCTAAAGAAACAGCTGTTGAAGGATAACTCAACTGTTCCTATTAAATATGACACAACAGCTGTTATATCAGAAGAATACTCGAATTTTGAAGATCCTTTTACTCAAATGTATACAAATAGTATCCTTTCAGGAGGAAGAATGGAGAAGAACATTGAAGAAATGCATTATTTACAAATCAATTTATGTAAACTAACCAGGAGGATGCTTGAAAAGACAGAGAAAGATAACAAAGAGCATAAATCTGAGAAAAAGCCTGGTACTAAGGATCCTGATAACCTATTAGAAATTTGAAGTGAAACTTCAATAGAATAACCAATATTTTCCAATGAGTTTCAACTTTTTAAATTTGATAGGGGTTTTGGGGTTTTGGGGTTTTGGGGTTTTGGGG